CTCTAATTGTGAAGCATATAAATTGCCATATTCAATTATGCCAATTTTTCCACTTAGCAGATTGTTCTCTAAGAGCAGACATCTTATTTAGCTTTTGCCATCTTAAATGTAAAGGCTGACCTAAGTTAGTGACATTGATACAGGCAATATGAAAAGACAGGTATCTCCAGGTTCTTCCTTTCTTAAGTAGGCATCTAATACAAACAGATTTACCCCACCTATTTCTTTTACTGGTGACAGGAGAGCTAACAACTAATTTAGCCTAGGCAATGATCTTTGATCCTTAGAGATAGAAGTCAGGTAAGATAAATTTTACACTAATAAATGCTTCTGCAGGAAGAGTCTGCATGGAGGAAAAATCTCCTTACACCTCATCCAGCAGGTAGCTGCTGGATCATACCAAAGTAATTACACTCAGAATTGAGGGTTATAAACCAAATGCCAAATAACCTGAGACAAATTTTTCTTCGTAGGTATTTAGTATTAAAATATACATGAATAATGTGTGTAATTAGTTCTTCTTTTGCTTTAGGTAGTAGCTTTCATGAATTGATCTGATAAACGCAACTAGGACAAAACCCTGTGTCAGAGACAGAGAGCTTTGCCAGAATTCTTGGCATTTTCTTCATGCCAGTGTGAGGAAGAACTATGCCTCTCAAATTCAGAAATACTGATATAAACTCAAGTTTGGTGTGTTAAGAAGTTACAAGAAAATGAATATAACCTCTAAATGCTCTGTAAGCTGAAGTCTAAATTTTTATACTGAAGGAATAAATTTCTTCTTGAAAGCAATGCATTGCTAATTCAGAGAGACTGTGTAATAGTGCTTTCTCAGCTCTATTTTTCTCCAGTTTGTTCTCATGCATTATTTTTTTGATGAGATTCATTACCAAGTGAAATATATGTACAAAGTAAGTCACATCTCCACATAAAATTAAAGTTCCTACTTACCAAATTACCTAGTACAACTTCAGCATATTATCCTGAGTATGAATTGCCTGTCAATGGATAAATTAAACCTATTAGTTAAAAGTGAGTTAATCAGTAAATGTCATAGTAATAAATATGAACTGAACCTAATGGGTGACCTGTGGAAGATAAATAAGGTATTAAACAAACTGTACCAGTTAATGAAACATGCTTTGTAGGGAACAAAATCAGCTGCTTGTCAGATTTTTATTTTTGCCTGTCATAAAAACACTTAAAAGGTGTTAGTTAGATTTAAAAAGATGTGAAGAATGCAGATAATGTTTTCAGTACTGATATCCAATACTAACTTTTTTCTCTGTACTCTCTGAGCTTTGTGAAAAAATGTTTAGGACCTATTGCTCCTGAAAAAAAAATGTCTAGCAGTGTAAAACATATGGATGTTAACCTGTAGTGAAGAAAGTGAAGGTATTTCTTAAAAATAAAATACTCATATCAATTTGACGATGGAGCTTAATATTTACTTAGCTATCTAGATTAAAACTATTCAGCAATGGAACCTGCGACTGACAGCTTCGGTGTTGTTGCTCTACCTGGTATAATGAAAGTCTGAAAGAGTAAAATATTGTGGGAGTTATTTTGTTTCAAGTAACTTTATTTTTACTTATGTATATTTACATAATATTTACATACATACATCCCAAGTGTGCGTGGGTGTATATCTATCTATCTATCTAGCTAGCTAGCTATCTATCTATCTATCTAGCTAGCTAGCTATCTATCTATCTATCTAGCTAGCTAGCTATCTATCTATCTATCTATCTATCTATCTATCTAATATATATATATATATATTTAACTTACGAATCCCAGGAACACTAATTTTCTTATTATTGTTTGAAGGTTTCCTGGTGGTCTCAGGTTTGTATGAGTGTTTCCAGCCTCAGACAGAAAGCCCAAGAGTTAGTACTGCAGCAATAAACATGCTTTTTCCTAGGAGTTTCTGCTGACTGCAGGGAGGCCTAGATGACTAACTAGGTCTGGATGTATAAATTTATATGTGAGGGATACATTGTGTAGAAATCTTTGATTAATTTAAAATTTAATCCCAAAGAGTTTTTGCTCTTTGTTAACCTACAACATCTTGAAAACAAACTAGACTTCCCCACCTACTGGCATAAATAGTGGGGAGACTTCAGCACAAGGTATTTTTCATATAAATTCAAATTTAGACAGAAGAACATCCCTAATGAAATATCGTGTCATCAAAGCTGATCTATTTTCAAGTAAAATAATAAGAACATCTGTTTACTTTAAAATAATGTCTTGACGTCCTGAACGAGGGCAGGGGACACATACTACTTCTATAAATATACTGTCCATACATGTACTTTAAAAAAGATTCTTCTTGCCAAAAACTGTAGAAATAATTCAACAGAATTACAGTTCCTGACAAAATATTAAACTGTTCAAATAACTACCAGAATCCAAATGGGAAAAATTAGGGAAGATAAAAATGACTTTTCTATGATTGTACAAACACAGATCTAAGTATTTATTAAGTTAAGGGAAGCAATAACTCTTGGTTTACTTACTCCCATTATGTCATTTCCAACATAGGTGTGGTTAAAATATCTCTTTTCCATTTCATTGTTTTTTACAAGATTATTACATGGAAGGAGTTTGCTTTTAGTTAGGATTGCAGCCAGGAACATTGCACTGTAAAGCCCCATTTTATTCTCTATTCAGTTGTGAAAATTTCATTTTGACTCAAAATTTGTTTTAACTACCAAAAATGTTCCTGTACAGTCTGAAGAAAATCAGTCATTCTTTTTCCTGAGATTTGGTTTATAGGACATTTTCTAACTTGAAAGTGTGGAATATTTAAAATAAAAATTGACTTGTTGCTCCTAACATAAACATTCTATTGATTAAAATGTTGCTAACATATTTCCATAATAAAAAAAACCAAGCCAACACACCAAAAACAACCAAAAAAACCAAACCAAAAGACCCCCCGAAGAACAAATGTAATTAAATACCTCTATTAGTTGCTTTTGTTGCATAATACACATTATACGTCCAGCAATCCTACATTTATTGATTGATGCTTCCTGGAAGACATGGGCCTGACATGGTTGTCTGTCTTGTCCTGTGGAATTTCATTGCAGACGTCACTGAGCAATGCTGATATTCTTTCTGCCTTGTATAGACACTGCTGGCTGTGAAGCATTAGCATCAATCATTGTTGTAAACGATGACTGGGCTGTATTTTGCACTCACATTATGCTTAATTTGCAGATGTATAAATGATTGTACAGCACAGTGATAAACTGAATCTGTAAGTGTTCTCTTCCATAATTTTCGCAGGAAGCAGCCCTTGTATAACCATAATAAATTAGATGTCTAGTTAGAAAAATAATCCACTTTTGTCTTCTACTGCACATTTTTCACTGTCAAATAAAATAAAGGTTGTCCAGGCATCGCCAGTTTGATTTGTGAACAGGACTTTGCAACTGTTCACTTCATAAAGCAGCAATCATGGTACTCGAAGATCTGTGTGTTAATGCAGGGGGAAGTGAGGGCCCAGGTACAGGCTACACAGATTAACGTTTCAGACATAACTGTAGTGCTTATTTTGCAATCTTAGTAGTATTTTTGTGTCATTTTATTTGGTTCATAAAGGCGGATCAGTTGTGCAACACGGACCACTAGCAATTGAAACTATCTGAATAGCTGTTAGAAACAGCAGGTTTCTGTAAATCTGGGATGAATAAAATAAGGTTGTAAATTCTTGGAAAGTAAGAACACCCAGGTAAAGATTACCAGTCTTGACTTAAAGGTGTTGAATGCTAGAGAGCTCATTATGTTCCTAGGTATTTTTAAAATTATTTCTTACCACTGCTGGTAAAATGGGTTCCTCATTTCCAGTGGGAGTTGCTAGTTTCTCACTGGTGGATCTTGCTGTGCTCCTATCTGATAGAAGGAAGTGCCAGCTACTACCAGAAATTTTATCTCCAGATGGGTACTTAAGACTGTGATCAAATCACCTCTTAAATGCATTGACAAGAAAAAGAACTTGACCTTGTTACAGCTCTCATGGAATCTGCATAGGTGGAATTACAAACTTTTTTTTCCCCCATTTTTAAGTAAGTTTTTGAAACATTGACAGCAGTAGCAGATTCATAAGTAAATACTCTTTACTCCAACTCGTAATTTCATTTATCAATCATCCAAAGGGCTGTAGCAACAGCCTATTCTGATGACTTGTATTTAGCTGGTTATCTATGAGGTCCCATGTACCTTTTTGAAGCTCACTGATTTCCTAAATGCAGTTTTTGGTCTCGTGTGTGACCTACATTTATTTCACTGCTTTTGGCCATATTGGAATATGAGTAAGTCTGCTTTAATGATGTGACTCAGTTTGTTCCATGTAATTTATTCTCATTACTGATTACTGTTCTATCACGTTTTTTGCATCCATAATTTTCTTCAGCAAAAAGTTTATATTTCTTCCACATTTTCCATAAAGACACTGAATAGCCTTTAAAGTATAGCAAACCCACTTGAAATTACATTAAAATATGTTGAATACTGATTATCTATCTTCAAGTTTTCAGATCTCCCAGTTTTTAATTATTTTATATGTTTAATATCTTTGTTCTGTTCTTTTGTTTTAACCTCCTTTATTAGGAGGTTAGTTAATTATTAACATAATTTTTTTGTGAAAATACCAGATGGGACTGCCCTTGTGACCTGTTTAGCTGCATCCCAAAGCTGACATTCTTATTTTATTCCTCTCCTTTTTAAAAATCAATGTTTTATCTGTTTTGAATGTGCTTCCTGCCTTAGAATGTCCAAAGATGATATTGCTGCCAATTATTCAATTTTACTTTAATGTCATATACAAAATATCCATTCTACATTGCAACTTAGCATATTTTATATAAAATCCTTAATACAATATCTTAAGTTTAAATAGTATTATAAACATAACTTGCAGGAGGAGTCAGTCCTGGAGTGACACAGTCTTTTGTTGATTACAGTTGCTTTTGATATCCCTGCTGTTCAATAAAAATCCAGGTTAGATTCTAGAAGGATCCTTATGAACGCAGACTGGGCTCCTATCAAAGCAAAAATAAATTCCCACATTACTTTTTTTAAAAACTTTGTGCCTCCCTATCCCTTCTTCAGCTAGATAAAAGCCTGTGCTGGGGTGTCCAGCTTGAATGTCATTTGATATCATCTGCTTCAGAGATCATCTTCATCCGATAAAGCGTCAAGGTAATCTGTATCAACATATAAGAGAAATCCAGAAAACAAACTGTCTGCCCACGTTGGATCAGAAAAGAGACCATTTTGGTCAGTGTAGAAGATCTCAAGCCATACTTCATCTTCTGGCTGAAGGTAAATCACTGTGGATCCAGAAGCTACATCATGGTTGCCTGTGTTGGCATCAAATGTCTTTATCCGGTACTTCCCATTGTGAACCAGCCCAATTGCAAGATGCTTGTTTGCTAAGGTGATATCGTAAGAAAAATAATAAATCCCTGGGATGGCACAAATAAACTTCCCCGTGGAAGGGTTGTAATGCTCTCCCTCATTGAAGAGTACTTTGTTAAATACAATTGGTAATCTTTCCTCTGGGTAGCTGGTGGTGATGCCAACTGAGAAGGCAGATTTCAGCACTATCTGTCCACACTTACAGACCCCTGGGGCGCCTGGCTCTCCTCGGTCTCCTTTATCTCCTTTAGGTCCAGGTAGGCCAGCTGGACCTACTTCACCTTTGGCACCAGTCAATCCTCCAGGTCCTTTTTTACCAGACTGACCTTGGTCTCCTTTCTCTCCAGCTGGTCCTAATGGCCCAGTCTTTCCTCTTAGACCTTCAAAAACATTTTAAATTAGTTAATTGTTGCACATACCATCTCAGTGAATGACTGTGTGGGCTACTGTGTGTGCCTGAACAAACAAGAAAAACACGGTCAGAATTTCAAAATACTCAAAAAAGACTTTCAAAATCTCCTAGTAAGTTTGTGAAAGGAATGGCAGGTTGGAACAGAGGACTGGGCTCTGCAGCCTGGGGATCCTTTGTTTCTATACTCCTACTTTTTCTTTATATGTCTTGATTACACCTTGAAGAATTTGATGACTAATCAATCAATTGCTGACTGAACTAGGGCCACTGCTGCAGGGACAGACAGCAGTGTAGCTACCTCTATAATGATACTTGTGCACTAAATGTCTCCTACTATTTGGGCATTTTTGGTGTGAACCTAAATACCTGCTAATCTTTTATTCCTAGCTAATGGCACAAATGCTTCAAACTTTTTCTTAGCAACTATGTGCAGGAAGGCTATGCATTTATATTTAGTTACACCAATTTCAGTCTATAACTACAGACATATCTAAAATATATCTTCATATATTTTCTTTCTCTCACTGTATATACCTGCATCACACTGAAACTCACACAGGCACATATACACTCATTCATCGTATATGTCTTCATGAAAGGTCTAACTTTGTTGTACTAGTGTGTTAGGTTACATAAATATTCAGTACCTGCACTCCCCTTTTCACCCTTTTCTCCCTTCCTGCCATCTCTGCCATCTCTTCCTGGAAGCCCAATGCGTCCATGTGGCCCAGGGGATCCACCAGCTCCAGGGGGACCCGCAGGGCCTGGCAAACCAGGGATGCTACAGATGTATCTGGTGTAGTAATTTTCTCCTTTGAACTGGCTTTGAAGAGGTTGTTCACTTGTGTAGATGGCAAAGCTTGTAATACAAAGCAACACAATCATCCTTGGGTCTGAAATAAATAAATAAGAATTATACTATTTATGCATATTATGGCACTGTAGTCACATGGAGATTACTCTGAATATGCCAAGAAGTGTGACACTGTGGTGCATTGTGCACAGGTCCATGTGCAGAGATCTGCATTACCAGAATCCATGTAGGAAGCAAGGAGGAAACTGTCAGGTTGGACTTTTCCTGGCCACCATGTATGTTATTCTAGGTCTTTTAAGTAGCCTTTAAACTGACATAGTATAACTGGTGAATACCAGCTGTTTTGGACCTAATTTCGACAGGTTAAAAAAATAATCCAGATTTTTCAATGCAAAGACCTTTTCTTGCACAGTTTATTTTGCCTGTGGAAACTGTGTAAGCTTTACAGAGAAAATCCCTCTTGCTGGAGGGAGTTATATCTGTGCTAGGAGGATGTGCCCATAGGTGCAGTTTCTTCTAGTGAGGACACAGCTTATACTTTGATTCCATTTTGAAATTTGCCCTTATGGTTACAGATAAATCTACAACCTGAATAGCAACAGCAGAAACATGCTGAGCCTGCAAAATGGATACCAGTAAGAGAGCTTTGATGCCTGGTTGGACCACAGCACAAATAACCCCTTTACCCTAATCAGTCAGGTTGAATCAGGCAGCTCCCCTGTGGGGAACAGATGGGGTGTGAATGGCTGCTAACAGGTTGGGGATTTTTTAAGCCTGGCTAGGGCTGTCATATCAAATTAACAGCCTTGCAGTACCTCACAAGTAAATTGTTTAAAGCCTCATAGATTGTATTTGGGTGTTTTAATAAACAATTTAATGCAAATCAGATTTCTCTGTTCCACTACATACTGGTTGACTATGGAAGATAAACACCATACAAACAGGAATGTGCTAAGGAGTTGCAGTACCTGATGCACAAAGGTGTCTTAAATTAGTGTTGCATTAGCATGGAGTCAGTCATGGGTCAGGTGAGATTTTGCAAGTCAAGCAGTTTTTCCTAGTTCCTTTGCTGGCTTCTCAGAAGACTTGTGTGGAATTTTTTGCTGGCATTGCCCATTCCTTCACAGCTATTTTACAGCATTCAAGGAAATCAGAATTCACTGGTTTCTGTGGGGAGAAAAAGAAGAAATAGAGTGGGGGATTCAGAAAAATATCTGTGTGAATTCATTCTCAAACTCAAGAGTTAATGGTTCAGTGAAGTAAATTAACCTAGAATTGTTGTTCCCATTCCCTTCTTGGTGATACTGATTGTCATTAGGTGATTTAAACCCCCAAGCCATTATATTTATTTGCAGCTCATAATATTTTAACTGGTATATGGCATAGCCAAATCTATGCAGGGAAAAATATCAGCATATGCATGTACATATACACAGTCTGTATGAAGAATCTTTTCTGTTTTATAGAATATAAAATTAGAAACTGTCTTGGTATCATTGGTAAAGCAGAAAAAAGCATAAAAATATTGTAGTTGGAGAAAAATAAGCTAGGCTCCGAAGTTCTCTTCAGTGATGTATTTTCTGCTTTTCACATTATGCATCTTGTATCAAATTGGCAGAAACCAAACTATTAATTTTGCTGTCATTTGATAAAGCCCTACAGTACAGTCAGACACAACATCTTCCAAGAGTGGATTAACATGAATGCTTAACATTACAGCAGAGCAGCGAATGATGACTCCAAGGTAGTAGTTAGGTACAAGCACAAACTTCACAGTGACATTGGCTCTGATGTACTACTGAGTGTACCCAAATAAACCTCGTAGATTTTCAGAGGACTTAAAACAGGAACAACAAAGTTTCCTGCAGAGAACAACCACTTTAAGCATTTAGCCTGGAGGGAGCAGCTTGGAGGGAGTTCCTGCCTAAGACTGCACTTGCATTTTAAACAAACCTGATGGATAAGAAGCAGACATGACCTAAGGATCAAGGACTAGGACAAAGGCTGCTCTTTGCTATATGAAAGTCTAAATCAGCAGGCTAGATGTTCCCAGATGGCGTTGCATATAAGCCAAGCAAAAGCACTCTCAACAACTGATGATTTTGCCTGTGTCCAGGATCTTTTACAAATCAGTAAGAACCTTCACACAGCTGCCCCTGTACTGGCTGGTCAGTAACTTACCAATGCGTGAAGCTGTCTCCAGCTCCCAGACCTCTCCTGCTGTTCTTCTCACATGTCTACAGGAAATTAATTAGTCTAGGACATATCTTTCTACTAAGGCAATGGGGAAAAGTCATTTGAGGAAATTGAGTGGAACAGAGTTGTTGGGATAGGGATGTTGGGATAGGCCTTAGATGCCTGGAGCATTGTGGTTGGTGAACCGATGCGGGAAGGAGAAGGCACAGAGGGGAATACATGGGGCTTTCAACTATGAGTTGGGGATATTAAGGAGTGATGGGGCTGTGACAGAATGGTGAGACTGCAGGAAGGGGACCAGAGCTGGGATTGGGAGGAAATGGTGATGATGTTCACGGTTCTGAATTTAGGCTTGGAGGCAATACAGAAGGCTGCTTCCAGCAGTGGTACCCAACAAATTACATTTCTGGAAAACGTGCCTTAGGCCAGGGAATCAGGACTTCTCTTGCCCTTCGACTTCAGATTCTTGCATTTCTTTCTGCATAATGATCCAGTTTTAAAAGGAGAGGTGGAAGGTGCCTCTATTATTGCAGCAGTCTCTTGGAAAGTGTGAATCTTCTCAGACCAAGGACAGATGTATAGCATTGAACCCATGCCCCCTGTTTCCTGGTGAGTGCTCTAAAAACTAAATTGTAATGTTGAAGGTTAATGATAACACATAGCCATGCTTTTGAAATGTCAGGCTGAATTAGGAGGCTGAAATTAGAGATTTCAGTTCTCATGGGCTCATGAAGATAGAGGGTGGATTAACTAGTAGGCAGAAACTGAGTCATAAATTACACTTTGATTCTGGCTTCTTGCTGTCCTTTTCAAAGACACAAACTTTTGTCCATAAGCTGGGGTAGCAAACAATGTCATTTATATATGCCAAATGATTTTTTGAGGAGTTATTTTTTATTTATTTAATATTGAAAGCCAGAACAAGCTCATGTTATTCTTGTTCACAACAATAACAATCATCTTCATCAAAACCATCACCAAAAATAATAATGAGAATGGGATTAACACAGTATTAAAATAATGTTTTTCCAAGTTAAGAAAATAGCATTTTAATGGGTTCCAAATCCACTAGGTAGAGCAAGAGTGCCAAGGCATTCACTGGAAGACAATGGAGATTCTGATCAGTTCTAATATGCAGTGATTTCTGGAACAGCTTTTCTAAGTGAGGGTGGCAGGTTCATTTGTTCCATCACAGTTCAATTTGCACAAACAGTATAAACACTCTTGTTGTGCATACACCCAAAAGATCATCTGATTCACTGAATATTGGAAAAATATTCAAAAAGCTATTCTAGACCTACCACCTTTTTGCAGTCTGTTAAGTGACAGATCTAAAGAAGCATGACCAGCAGGCTGAAGAATGTGATTCTTCCCCTCTACTCCACTCTGGTGAAACCCCACCTGGAGTGTCCAGCTCTGGAGTCCTCATCACAGGAAAGACATGAAGCTGTTGGAGCGAGTCCAGAGGAGGGCCATGAAAATGATCAGAGGGCTGGAGCACCTCTGATACTGAGACAAGCTGGGGGAATTGGAGTTGTTCAGCCTGGATAAGAGAAGGCTTCAGGGAGACCTTACTGCAGCCTTTCAATACTTAAAAGGGACTTACAAGAAAGATGGAGACAGACTTTTTAGTATGGCCTGTTGCAATAGGACAAGGGCTAATGGTTTTTAACTGAGACTAAATTTAGACAAGACATAAGGAAGAAATTTTTTACAGTGAGGGTAGTGGAACACTGGAACAGGTTGCCCAAAGAAGTGGTAGATGACCCATCTCTGGAAGCATTCAAGATCAGGTTGGATGGGGCTCTGAGCAACCTGATCTACCTGAAGAGGTCCCTACACACTGAAGAGGGGTTGGACTAGATGACCTTTAAAGGTCCCTTTCAACCCAAACCATTCTATGGTTCTATGATCTACCTTGAGGAGATAGCCTGTATGTTATGTTCTCATTGAAGCAAGGTGCTGGGCAGAGGGTTTTTAACATCAAGCCTTCAGGAAATCTCACTTCATTACTAATATACTCAGTCTATGTCATTAAATTTTTTTAAGCTTAGAAATCAAGTTTTGAGACTTCCTGGTATATGATCTAATCGTCCTCCCTTGTCCAGCTATGCAGGTTTTAATTCTAAAATTTCCTAATTGGCATTGTTTTGAAACAATCCTAGAAGACTTCCCTTGAATCTGTTATAAATAAAAGCTGGGTGAAAGCCAGCAATTTTTAGTCACAAGTTATCCTGGCTGTGCTTTTACTTTTGTCTTCCCTTACTAGATTTGAATTAACTTGCATTGCATATTCACATCGTTTTGAAGAGGAGATGGTGTGTTTAAACTTCCCTGTGCATAAAGATGCAGACAAGACATAGGGATGCTCCTGGGCCTTTTCTCTCTGCATCACTGGCAATGGCTTAGTGGTGCAGAACGAGGTAGACTGTACATTCTCTGGCTCTCTAAGAGCAAAGGCCTGTACAATCTCACATCACTACCTTGCATCCCCACTGTGGGACTATAGACCTTCTCTAACTCTCCCATCCAGGAGAGCTGTGGTGAAGGAGGTAATAAGTCAGGATGGGAGGAAGAGAAAGACACTCTCAGCAATTAGTTTGAAATCTTACTGGCTATGCTTGTCTTTGCCCTCTCAAAACATGATGCATAAAAATCAGTTGTGTCCACATGCCTGTAAGGTCCAAACCTGCCATTCTATTTGCCACCACCACTGACCTTGTTAGAAAGCCTCAGAAACAGTGGCTTGCAGTTTAGCACACCACACTCTGCAGTTTCATTGTGCTGTATGATTTTTATGCTATTTAAAATACAAGACTTAATTATGGATTTTTTCCCGCAGATATTTTACATTGATCATTCACCTTCAGCTGGG